TCATTGCATCATCTGCATATTTAACCTGTAATTGTTGCTGAACTGATATTTATTTCAAAAAGTGGTTATTGTGTTCATTATAAGAGCTTTAATATACTACAATATTTTAAAAAGTAAGATTCGCTGTCAGATACAAAAATTGTACATGGAATGACCCAAATACTTTTGTATTTACTTATGCAAATTTTCACTTAATATCTTACCATTACAAGAAGAATTTAAAGATCCTTTTTGATTGAGCAAGTTTTGATTGTCTTTTTACAAGGAAAAACAGTTCTCAGCAAGTCAGCTGGATAAGAGAATAAAATTCAAGGCACATATCAACAAATAAATCTAAATTAAATTGCAAAATCATAATTATTGATAGCATTATTCATAATATATCTCTCAATATTCATACAGGATAAATTACTGATAAATAACAAAACCTTAATTAAGAAATACTAAATTTAAACAAAATTAAAATGTAATAGTGGTATGATTTATCAGAATTATTATATAATTATTAAATTATATTATCCACCAAGAGTCACTTCATTTTTTCCCTCAGTACTGTCAACTTGGGTGAAGTTTACATATTTGAGATTTAAATATTAGCAAAACCAAGACAGATAAGATATTTGGTTTTGTTTCAAAATATGGGTGTACACCTTTCATAAAAATTTAATATCTACATATTACATTAACAATCTCATTTATCGGTATTAAAAAGAGTACTGGAAGGTAGTAAGTGCCCTGGTCTAGATGATTATTTATTTTACTCAACATTTGAGTTTTACATTAGAACAGAGTGAATATGATTGCTCTGCATGTATATGTTGTATCACCAATAATAATAATTGTTCCCTTAGAAAAATTTAATATTCTCAAAAATTCAAGTGATGCATTTACAATGATCTTCATGTTTTTCTTAAATACAAAAGTATGAGCACAATAAATATATAACTGTACTTTGAAATCAAACAAACCAACCTCAAAGAACAATTCCCTTCCCTATCAATGTTGGGGGATATTCAAGCCTTTTTTTAAGAGAAGTCAGAAGTTCACCAAGAAAATAGTTTGCTTTAAAAAGAAAGGTTATTAAAAAGTATACAATACACAATATAGACAAATACAAACTATATAGTACCAAAAAAAATTTGTTGTTTGCTTTTACCTTACAAAAGAAATGGTATATTTTACCAACCATGATTTTTTCTTCACGGTTTTGTATCCTGAAGAAATGTAAAAGTGTGTGTGTGCATTTTATTATATTCTGTGTAAAGGGTACTTTATTGAGTTCTGTTAATTATAGAGTAATTGAGTGGAATTATTCTTTTAGTGACAAGAATTCACAAAGAATCTCACTATCCTGAGAATAAAGGTAATGTATCATATTTTTTTTCTTTTAACAAAGCTAATCCCCAGAGCACATCCCCATTTCTAGAAGGAAACAATTTAATATTCATGTAAAAGGCAAGTATTGAATTGATGCCTGCCACACTATGAACCAAGTACACTATTACCAAAATCAGGATCCTTCTGCTAGACAGGTAACTCATTGTGCAATTGGGAGTGTTTTGGACGGGAGGACAGAACTGTTCTTCCTACAAAGATAACCATAATAGGTAGGTATTGAAACTTTACTATACAGTAATTCCTAACTTCAACTGTAAACTTCATCCCAAAAGCCCTAGAGTTTTCCTGAATATTATTTTTGGCAACATTTTAAATAAATATTAACGACTTAATATTGCACTTCAATGAAATGTTTTCCTCAGGTATCAAGACAGAACATACATGTACATTTATACGAGCAATAACATACATGTTTTGGTATATCTCCATCCAATGGTGGATGTAGCGGTGGGAGTGGGAGTGGAGGGGTAGGGGGCCAAAAGGCCTAGAGTTTTTATTTACCTTCCTTTATTTTGCAAAACTTATATATTATTTATGTTTGAATTATGTCGTTATTTAAACAATAATATTGTATAGTATACATAAATACTATATTTACCTTCAGTACATAAATAATATACAATCTAATACCATATATGTTTATTATTTAACAAAAATCATCAATCCCCCCCACAATGATTGGCTGTAGCGCCCCTGTCCACATCTCAGCCAAGCACACACAAGTTATAATTATATATTTCACAAATTCAAGCTTCAAAGAAATAATTTAAATGGATTATAAACAGTTGAAAAATATAATTGGAGCTAGAAATTGTACATTCTTAAATTAAATAATAACATATTCTATAATGGAAAAATTTTAGGTATTAAAATAACATGGATATCTAATGGAATAACATTTTCCAATTTATCATTCAAATTCACCAAATAAGTAAACCCTCAATATTTGGCAGTACTAAACAAATCTTCAATCTCAGGAGTTGTATTGTTAAAAGCACAATGAATATCATCGTCATAAGATAATATAATAATGTTCTCCATTGCTCTAGTTCTAGAATATCATCTTACAAGATTATTCATAATTCTTTACATATAAGTAATGGTCTACACAAAAGTACATTCATTAAAAATACATCAATATCTTTCAAGACTGACAGTTGTAAAATTTCCATTAGTATTAATAATTTTTATTATTCATGAGTCTATCTGAGATAACAACACTGAAATGTAAGTGATTTTGAGAAAGTTTGTCAGCTTCACAAAAGACTGTTTTTTCATCACCAAAGAAAAGTGAAAGTACAGCAAATTGCAAGAAATCATCTTCAAAAACACAGTACACAATATGATTTTGTTCCACAGCAACATGTACATAGTTACTCCATTACTATTGAATTAAATTATTATAAGTAATTCAGTTAAGTAATTAATGTAATGTAATACATTAAAATTCCTATTGTTTGCTTTTTGTTTCTTCAAAAATTCATTATTGTTAACAATTTTCTTACTTCAGAGATTACCAACATACAAACAGGGCCAAGGTGCCTCCCTCCTTTTGAATTATATTAAAAAAATTAGAAATGTATTTGCTTAAAATTAAAATAAATGTGAATTTATTTTGGGAATATTTCTTTAAAAATTCAATTTAATCTGCGCAGGGTATTTGTTTTCAAAAAATGGAAAGAAATAAAAAATAAAAAAGCAGGGGGCACCCACCCCATCATCCTTCGAAACTGCTATTTACTGGGCAGAATTTACCTACGAGCAAAATAAGCAGCAGCTTACAGGCTCCCTACCAAGGCAGCTCCACACCTTGGGGAAAATATCACAAAATATACAAGTATTTATAAAATAATTGTTAATCAAATAGTCGACACTAATAAAAAGTTGAAGTGTAGATATGAGTAAGGGCAGAAAATATAATGTGTGTTCAATTCTATAAGCAATTTATTTCCATTTGTTATGTTTAATTGTAATTTAATGTAATTGTAATGTTGTTGTAATTTATTATGTTCCAAAATGTTATACTATTTGGTGTTGGTACTTTGTGTATTTCCAGTAAATATGGAGGAATTCTGTCCAGAGGGTTGCCCAAACCCAATTTAGTGCTTGGGAGCCTGGCAGTATTTAAATCCAGTCCTCTGTTTATTTTTGGAAAACGTGTTACTTTAGTGTATATAATACATTCACCTATCATATTTCATCAAAACTGAGTTTAGATGAAGCGTTTAAACAACAAAATCTCTTTAATCACATTTAAAATGCACAAAAAGAAGATTGGTTTCATTACGCAGTTTTCCAGGGATGATTCAATGTCTTAGGAAGTCCTACGTATAGTCAATAGTGCAACCTTTGCAATTTAAAAAAATAATATTAAAATATTTTTACATAGACCTGTTTAAGAGCTACTATAAATTTGGATAAAAAAATGAAGTGGTCTCCTACCCAGTGGGTGCCGAAAGTACATTCTCAGTCAACTTAATCTACCCCTGCTGTTTTGATTTCAAGAGAGAGCAGGTACAACAAATGTTGTCTTTCAAATTTTCTGAGAACTACGTAATTTATAAGTAAATGATATCTTATTAATGTTATTTACCAAGGAAAGTTTAATTTGAAATACAAATATAAACACAATGTTATAACATTTGAAATGATACAATAGTAACAATATATAGGCTACATACAAATGAAGTTTTCTTTTTAAATTCAAAATAAGTTTCAAAAAATAAGTCTATTTGGAATGGTATTACTGTACTTACAACCCTCCTAAGTTTTTCACCCAGTTTGGGGCTGTCCATAAATTACATAACACAAATTTGTAATATTTTGAATACCCACTCTCCCCATATTACGCACAATTGAACACCCCCATACTGATTACGCAACACTGACAACACCCCCCCCCCTTATAAATGCAAAAAGTGAAAATAAATTATAGTTCAGTAACAAAATTGTATTCATTTCATTTGTGCATATTAAAATTTATGATAATTTAAGTCAGAATTAGTTGTTGATGCTGACTGCACCTAACAATATGATAGGAGGCAAATTTTGAGTGGAGGAACGAAGTGAGGGCAAGAAAATTTCTGATTACAAGATGTACACATGCTGTCATTGTGTATGATGCACAGGCGAGTCTACCACGCAAATTAAATTGTATTCTACAAAATACTATGATCAGTTTTGAATATTTTCTTCCTAATCTTAAGAGATTCAATACAAAATTTATGAAAAAATATTTTCATTGATAGTAACAACTTCTAATAACTTTAAATAATTTTGTTTAAAAAAAATTAATTAGGTAATATTTTAATGTTTTAGTATGACAAAAAATGAAGTATTTAAAAAAATGTCAATGTTACATAACAATCAAATACCCCTCTACCCCCACGTAACACAGCATAACACTGCCTCAAACCCCCTCCTTGGCAAAATGAAATTTATGAACAATCCCATTTCAAGGCAATATAAATTGATCATGCCTGATACCAATAACTTTTAGTTTGTTTAAGCTTGAAACACTACAAAGGCAAGGACTATTTGTAGATGATGTTGGAAGCAGTACAGTAAGCTATATTAATTAGCATATTATTCATGAATTAAAGTTAATCTAGCTTTGCTTGTTTTACAGAATGGCTAGGTGCCTGATTTGGACAAGTAGTAAATGAATTGGGTGTCAATGTACTTTCCTTCTCTAAATTTGATAATTTTTGAGAACTAGAAAAGAAATTATAATTACAGCTTTTACTCAATGCAGACATGAAATTCAATAAATCTTTCATAGATAAATTACTGGCAATAATACGGACAGAATCAGGATCTAACATAATTGTTTTTCCCCCCACAGATGTTTCAATTACTGTGAAAAATTTTAGTTCTCTTGACTTGTTCAAGAGTCTCCATCTTGTTATGCATAATTCAATTTTTTCTGCTATAATGTCATGATACACTGGATACCTTTTCGTCATCACATCTTTCATTTTCTTAACCCATACATTATTACCAGACAGATCTATTGCTACTTTTGTCATTAAATCATGAAGTGAAATTTGATGATATACAATTTCTGTTTTCATTTGAATTATTTCACTAACACAATCGTCAAAATATTGAACCAATTTACCGTAATTACTGCTTTCAATGTATGGCTCCAAAAAAATCCTTTTACAATTGTCAACATTTTTTAAGATATACATTTTAAGAAGTAGTTTTGCAACAGGCAGTTCATAGATAGCATTGTCTAAAGGACTACTACCGATAATAAGCAATCTACCGCTATTAATATCCATTCTTCGGTCTCGATTACGTATGTTAATATCTGCTCCGTATTCCAACAGTACTTTAATGGTTTTCAGATTTTTCTGGGAATTTTTTACTGCCCTATTCAGAGGAGTATTTCCTCTACGATCCGTGACGTTTACATTTGCTCCCGCTTTTAGAAGTACTTCCACCACATCCGTGCTTCCACCGCTGCAAGCCATAAGCAATGGAGTGTCTCTGTAATAATTTGATTTATTTACTACACAGCGGTGAAACAAATCACGTCCGTGACGTTGGTTTGCCTCCATGTTGATATTTGCACCAGCTGATATCAATTCCTCCACTTTTTGCAAGTTTCTTTCGCGTACTGCCCGACACAATGCATTGTGTAAACGTCGCATTGACATTTTATTTGTTTCTTACTCTTTCTTGAACTTTCAGTTGAGAAAAAAGGCACGAACACCACTGTATTGACACTCCTATGGCACTTCACTTAAAAAACAAAAATCTTACCCTTCCGATGCAAGAGTGCCGGACGAGCTTAAATGCACCCCGTCTACAACGTACAACCTCGTCACAAAATACAAGCCGCAATAGGGCAACAAAACTGCCTGAATTTACGAGAAAACCTGCAATCGGGGAATCCCAGATACTAAGAGTTTCGATCCATGGAAGAATGCGTGCCATCTAGAGTTCGCTTTAAGAAACTAGTAGCGCTGTTGATTATGTTATTAAAAAATGCATACATTACGTTTGATATATTAATTGCGTAATACATTATAATTCATTGAACATTATTATTATTATTATTATTATTATTATTATTATATTTATTATTATCATCATCATTGCGATCGTTGGTGAACTTGTGCCTGAGGCTGTGGCAGTCATACCAACCTCAAGCAAGACATTACTCGCCATAATTACTTTCGTGTTCTAAGAAACGATTTCATTGTGACACTTCTGATATCACAACTGAAAAGTCATGGTGTAAGAGCGACGTCCTGTCAATTTTCGTGAGCTGCTTGATTTTCGTGCGTCTTTGGCGGTAGAATTTAAATAAGTTTGCACTAGAGGCGTGAATGGAGGATATGATTTCTGCATTATCTACTAAGTTTTTGCAGGGACTAACGTGTGACGTCATACAATTCAAAAAGCAGTGTAGGCGGTTTGCACGGTGGATGACGGTCGAGGCGGGAGCCAACCTGAAGCGGAGACTAAGGGTGGATTTCTAAGACGTGGTCTGAGCCGCGGTTTTGAAACCGTGGCTTTTAAGCCGCGGCTTGAGTCGTGACGCGAATCAGATTGACTGTCAGATTCACGAATCAGAAAACGATGATTCAACGACGTTTGGTGAGTCCGCGGTCTCAAGCTGGGGCTCTGGAAAATCGGTTTGGCAACATTGCCGTGGTGTGTGCGAACGACGTTCGTCGTGTTTTTGGAGTAGAAACTGACTAGTTTGCAACACAGTAGTACGTTTGATAGCGTAGGTGCGAATTGTATTTCCATTCTTATTTTGCACGATAATGTAATGAATGACGAATTATACTTTTATAATAATTACAAATACATGCCAAAATTTCGTTCGCTATTAATACAAATGGCTCGGTTTGACAAAGAGAGGGCAGAAATTCGTCAGAAGTACCCAAAATACTGACTGCCCAAGCAACGTTGCTTGGGTAGTATTTTTCATTTTATTTATTTGATATTATTTGTTTTTCACAAAATTCACTGTATTTCTTTTTGCTCAACTTATGTTAACGATTCAATTTTCTCCTTACTAGAGACCCACTGAGGATGGGAAAAGGTAATTTTTCGTCCAATTCGCTCTCAGCAATTCTGGCAGCCGCTTGACACCTAATAACAAGAGTTCTTAATCTGGATGGTACATTTGCTCTCTTTCGTCTCATTTCGAACAGCGTTTTTAGACGTCTTTTCAATTTTCAGTTGTGCCAAAGAATCGCTATTGGAATCAGCCACATCTTCATTTATTTAGAAACTTGTTATACGATCATAATCGAGTTCCTGTAATTTACCTTTATTTCTCGTGTCGATACTACACATAGTAAGAAATGAACATGTCTCGTTTCAATAATACTATTTACTTCTGGATAAAAAACTCTATGCTCTTCACTATACTTATCACTTGTCATAATTTTTTCTTGTTTGATTACATTTTTAGGATCGAATTATATGTTTTATAGTATAAAATGATGTTTGGGTTACATTTGTTAGTATTTTATACCTGTCTTTTTTTTTCTTCTTCTTCTTCCTTTTTCTTTCCACATGAGACTTTGATGCCTTTGGTTTTCTTATTTAGGTTTGTTTTGAGTTTTGGGAGGAAAATCGCATTGAAATGTCTTAAGAATATATTTCTGAATTAATATATCATTTGTATCAGTTACCTTATATACTTCATTCCAGTTTTCAAATCTGAGTAAATTTTGATATTTTATTATGTTTCCTTGAGAATAGTGTCGGATTTCTTGGTAAGTTGTCTGTTCTGCGATTTTTGTTTCTACTTAAAGTGTTAGAATCTGGATAGTGTTGTCACTGAAACCTGTAGTAAATGTAGCAACAGAAAAACAATGGTTATTTGTATCTTATTATTTGATCTATAGCAGTGCTACAATTTTTGGATATTCATTTGATGTATTTATGGTTGTTTGTAGATTGATTTTAGTAGGTCTTTACATAGATTTTCATTACTGGATTGTGTGAGGCAATTTATATTGATGTCACCGCAAATAATAATTTTATACTGTCTTTTTTTTATGTTTTGTTAGAATAACTCCCGGATTTTTTTTACAAGATTTCAAATTTCCAGTAGGGATGCGATATGTTCATAAGACCCATGTTTATTGTAGTTAAGTCAGTGATGGATATTTCAAAGTCTTTATCTTTTATAAGATGGGTGTGATTGCTGTGAGGTGCAAAACTAATAGTATCTTTAATAAAAATGCATGTCCCACCATATGTATGATGTGCATTGTTAATATTTCGACATGAGCTGCTGGCTAAAGAGAAACCTGTTATATATGTATCTAATTGTTCTTTAGTATCCAGTGTTCTGTGAAGCACAATATTGAAATGGGTTGAGTTTCTATATCAGAGTTTATTTTTCAGAGACTGTACATTTTGGAGAGGAATGAGAAAATAGTTGTTTTCTGCATTGTCCGCTTTCCTGCAGATGTTTGATGCTACAGGTTATATATAGGAGTGGATTTTCGGTTGCAAGGAAGTGGAGTTTCGGAAGTTGTATTTACGGATGGGACAGGGAGTAAAATGTGTGGAAGTAGGTAAAGGGGCTGGGGAGAATAAGAAAGGTGAGGAGGAGGTTGAGGGAAGTGGAGTGGGCAGGAGAGGTGTGGGGGTAGAAGGAACTGGGGTGGGTAAATGAGGACTGGGGGCACGTGAAGGGCGTGGGGTGGGCAGGAGAGGTGTGGGAAAAGGAAGTAGTGGGGGTAAGAGAGGACTGGATGTTGGTGAAAGACGGAGTGTGTAAGAGGTTGTTGAAGGAGAGGAGGAAGAATGGGTGGGAGATGGATGTGGGGTGTCAGTGGTTTCCACAAGGTTCGAGATGCACATGGCTCCTAGTTTTTGTTTACCTAACTGGTTCATGTGGAGACCATGTCGAGTAAAGTGTTTTCTTGAGAGTCAAGATCAACAAGTACAATAGGTGTCCATTTCAATTGCTGTCTTATATGATGGTTTGCAATTCTAATTTAATTATTTTTAGGAATATTTTGGGCTATGGAGCAGAGTCGTCGTGATTACATTTGTGTGTTTGGCAGTCTTGTATTTTTGTTAAATATTACTCTGTATCAAAGTGACTGCCAGAGTGAAGATCTCCTGCTATAGCCTACTCATCCGCAATAGTCAAAATATATATTCCCTCTTATTGTCTTAATAGGCATCGGGTTACATGCAACCTCTCCAATATTTGTTTCGTGGTTCCCCCTGGATTGCTCTTGTGTGAAGCTCGAGTAAATTTTCCAACTATACATGCTTCACAATCTTTTTTTCGACCTTGAAGTTATTCAAGCCCATAATCATCTGTTTCTTCAACAATTCTTCAAGATAAGTATGATTCAGATGACAAAACCGCTATGCCATAGATTCACGACATGTTAACATTTGAAACATAATACATATGCAGATTTCGAACCATTATCTTAGGGAAATATTAGTCACTTGCATTAATACGAGACATTGCAAACTCATGTTGATGATAATACTAAACAATACTATACATATATCTCTATGCCGTTTGCCTAAAAGAAATTGTGAAGTGAATACTTCGAATTAACCTTCAAATAGACGTGCGTGAAATCTACCTAGTTAGTGATTCTTTTTGAGCAGGAGTAATTATATTTTACCTATAAAATACAATACTTATTCATTATTTCTGATATTTATTGTATTTTTAAGACAATGGACGAAAACAATAAAATAGCAAAGTATTACTTTATCAGTTTTTATACCATCTATTTTTATATACCCTCACTTTATCGACTCTTTACACTAAATTACACTCTCAAGAACAAATTCAAAGTAGAAGTGTTTATTGTAGAAGAATAAAAAAAATCACCAAATATCTGGAAGAATCTAGTCCTAAAACGGACGACGGGCGCTGGTATAAATAACACCCAGGAAAGTGCATTCATCAAAAAGCACTCCAAATCACTATTGCCCTGACAAAAACGTACTCGCCTAGAGATGGAACCAGAAAGTTACTTACAACTAGCGAATTTCATATGGGCGCGCTCGGGGACGTACACGAAAAGAGAATACCTATTAAGAATATATCGAATCAATTTTTTCTTCGCTTTTAGTGGTTAATTCTTGCAATTCGCATGTATTAGCCCCCGCTCTTGTTAAACTAATGGTGCTACAACATCACATACTTTCTCGCGTCATTGGATACAGCTACGTAATATTGAAATATTGTATTTTCTGGGCTAACACCTCAGTCATTATTTCAAAACGTCCAATTTAACCAAGAAATGAGCAACGCAATGTTGCCAACGCAGCGTTATGAAAACTATGTGCATTCGCTGAGCTAATATCAATACAGTAATTAGAATACATGCAATTGGTATGAAAATAATTACGAACATTTGCGAGATGCCTTTCGTCGTAAGATAATATTCCGATAGCGTTTCATTCCGATTTCATCACCAACTTCTAACATCCACACTTCCGATACAATAAACACTATTGATTTTCAACAAAGAGAACGTCCATGGCTTCTCGGAAGAGAGATTATATAAACAAAACAAAACTTTTCAATCGATGCGTCATTGTT